TACGCTGGGCCGCTCCGCGGGTGGGCGTTGCTGGGCGGTGGAGACGGAGCCCGGAGCTCGCTCCGCGTGCGGCGTGGTGTCGCGCTCGCCAGCACCCCGCGGGCTGAGTGCGCCAGGTGTTAGAAGGGGCGCCCTAGCAAGAGGCTGCTCTTCGGAAGACCCCCAGTGTCCCATTGTTGGCATAATACGAGTGTCCGAGAAAATTCTCGTTTGAGGGGGTCGAGATCCGGTTGAAAGCTTGGAGGCGCGACAGGTGCCAAGTGCTGCAGGCAGAGAGCCTGTCTAAGGAGCGCGAAGTGGACAGACGCTACTGGGACCGGAAGCCCTTTTGGTGTTCACGGTCACGGCAGCCCTTTCCTCGGGCTTCTCTGTGGACGCAGGTTAAGTTTATGTGTGCATTTTCTTGGCCACTTGGCATGCAATATGATTTCTCTGGGGGCTTGAACAGTGCCGGAAGGATGATTAACTTTATGGACAAGGTGTGTTCAGCGACTGTATAAATGGCCTCTGCTGCTGTGTTGATGTTTGCATGATCTCCAACCACAAAGCGAGTCGTTTCCCTCGGGTCTCCAAGTTTACCTTTTATTTTAATCAAACATGGCTGCAGGAATGTTCAGTTTTGACAGTGACATGCCGTTCCATCGGGCGGGCATCCCATATGACAGGCTTGGGTTCTCCTGGCTTGATGGGCCAACCCAGAAGGCACAGAGGTGCATAAGCACAGGACACAGAGATGCAAATGCTATATCCTAAGGTCTTCTAAACAAACTTGTTTTCTCAAGTACAAGGCTTGTGGTGGTTGTTTTCATCCCCTCCCAAATCCAGTGTTCAGGGAAATGTGTTCTGTGCCAGACATGATTCCTGCTCCAGTGCAAACACTGAGGTGCCCGTGCACCTAATTACAGGAGCCGCCTTCTTTCAATCAGGGTGGCATCCTTGTAGTCAAAGAGGAGGCAGCTCCCTAGGAGTATTTAGAGTCCTTTGAGGTTTAACCTTGGGCTCTTCCTCTGAAAGCTTCAGTTGGAATGTTCCGGTAATGACAACTACAGAATCAAGGATGCTAATAAATGTTTTAACACTTTGGAAACCTGATGCGTTCCCATAGGTTCATTTTGGTCATTCTTTGGGTCCATTGGGATGGACCAGACAAGACAGAGGCTTAGCTTGACCTGAGAGTGTGTCTTGGGTCCTAACCCTTTTTTAGGTTCCAAGTCACTGTGGAGACATCTGGGTGCTTTGTAAAGTCTTTCTGACACTGGAGCTCTCAGACTTTGTTGCCTGTTTCCTTCCACTAAGCTATGTTTACTCATCATGAAAAGTTACATTTTTTTCTTTAAAAAGGAAGACAAAGTTGCATTACCTCATGGCTTGAGGCATGTGGTGCCCCTGCCTTTGTTTTTTTCTGTGCTGTGTCATAGTAGGTCTCAGCTGGTGGGAGAAGTGCCCATGAATCTGTGGTAAATCATTCATTTGCCTATTAATAAATCCTGGGATATAAATTGAATAAATATCTGGATGGTTGCAGGAAATACAGAGGGTTTCAGCTGTGCTGTAAGGACTGGGGTTTCTGTGTTTGAAACAGATACTGTAACCAGCCACACAGTTTACCCTCTGGGGATAAACAGCTTCCTTAGGAATCCTTGAACAGGCATGTTCTTGAGGGCATATTCCTTTGAAGTAACCGAGGGGTTGCATATAAAAGAAAAAAACAAGGGGGTGGGTGTGAGATGTGCTTCAGTTTTTGAAGATGGGTGATAGGTATTTCCTATGTCTTTATCCTACAGTTTTCTTACTGAAGAAAGCCAAAGGATACCATTATATTCTGCTATTATTTCCATTTGGATATCAAGGAAAGCACTTTAATGAGCAAATAAATTCTAAGGTTGTCCTAAACACACACATTCCTGTGTCTTTTCTAAGTAAACCAATATTTGCATTTTGAACTCCCCGTATGCAGGAGCCAGTGTTTGCAGGTACATGAGAACAGTCCTGATGATGGACTATTTAATCCAAAGAGAGGGGAGGATAGATCCTTTGTTCTTGCAACCGGCTTTCCAAGAATCAATATAAATCAGGAGGGACAGAAAACCAGCAGTCATGAGTATGCTACTCAAAATATTCCTGCTTTTATGTGCTAAATCCTCACGTTGGAAGCTGTCCAGAGTAGAAAGGGTGGTTGGAGACTGTGGCCAGAGTTCATTCTGTGCTTTGATTAAACCTTGCTGATCAATATATGGTCATGTTTCTATGGGGGTGCTTTTGGAAGTCGTCAGTAAGAAGAGTTGTCTGGTTTAGAGATTATTTGCAACATTTAAATAAAGATCTGATCTTTGCAGGAGTTGGCCTTCCGTTTCCCGTTCCCTGTATGTACAGGGAGACTGGATCTTCCTGAAGGAATTCTTAATGGAATTAATTAGTAGGTGTGTGTTTTACACATGGCTTTATGTGCACAGGGCATGAAAGCAGGGTGCATCCTGGCATTGCCAGAGCAGGAGGCCTGGCATTTCAAGTGTCCTGTGGTGAGTCAGCTGGACATGACAGGGAGCTGTGAGAATGAGACCTCGTTCCTCCTGGCTTTCGCTGACTTACGTTCTCAAGGACTTCAATGTCCTAAAAGTCGGCAAGCAGGTTTTCCAAGATGAACCTGCTTTTAAGCAGTGATTTTTTTTTTCCCCCTATTTTAACAGTGTGTAGTTCAAGTGGCTCAACAGTCTTCCAAATGATTTCTTTCCTTCCAGGTAGTTGTCTCTGGCTTTGTACTAGAGTAGCTGTGTGTTTACCCAGAGCTGCGGCAGCAGGGCCAGCAGTTAGGCGTTCTGCTTTGTCTTAGGCCCTGGTCGCCCTTGTCCTGCTCTTTTGAACATCAGTGGTGTCACCGTCAGTGTTTTGTTTTGTCTTTCTCTTAGGAGTGGAAACAAAATGTCAGTCAGCGTGCACGAGAACCGCAAATCCAGGGCCAGCAGTGGCTCCATCAACATCTACCTGTTTCACAAGTCCTCCTACGCCGACAGCGTCCTCACTCACCTGAACCTCCTGCGCCAGCAGCGGCTCTTCACCGACGTGCTGCTCCATGCCGGAAACAGGACCTTCCCTTGCCACCGGGCCGTGCTGGCCGCCTGCAGCCGCTACTTCGAGGCCATGTTCAGCGGTGGCCTGAAAGAAAGCCAGGACAGCGAGGTCAACTTCGACAATTCCATCCACCCGGAGGTCTTGGAGCTGCTTCTCGACTACGCGTACTCCTCCCGGGTCATCATCAATGAAGAAAACGCAGAATCGCTCCTGGAGGCTGGCGACATGCTGGAGTTTCAAGATATCCGGGACGCCTGCGCGGAGTTCCTGGAGAAGAACCTGCACCCCACCAACTGCCTGGGCATGCTGCTGCTGTCCGACGCCCACCAGTGCACCAAGCTGTATGAGCTCTCCTGGAGGATGTGTCTCAGCAACTTCCAGACCATCCGGAAGAACGAAGACTTCCTCCAGCTGCCCCAGGACATGGTCGTGCAGCTCCTGTCGAGCGAAGAGCTGGAGACCGAAGACGAAAGGCTTGTGTACGAGTCTGCAATTAACTGGATCAGCTACGACCTGAAGAAGCGCTCTGGCTACCTCCCCGAGCTGCTGCAGACGGTGCGGCTGGCGCTCCTGCCGGCCATCTATCTCATGGAGAACGTGGCCACGGAGGAGCTCATCACCAAGCAGAGGAAGAGCAAGGAAATCGTGGAGGAGGCCATCCGGTGCAAGCTGAAGATTCTGCAGAACGACGGCGTGGTCACCAGCCTCTGTGCCCGGCCCCGGAAAACTGGCCATGCCCTCTTCCTCCTGGGAGGACAGACGTTCATGTGCGACAAGCTGTATCTGGTGGATCAGAAGGCCAAAGAGATCATTCCCAAGGCCGACATTCCCAGCCCGCGGAAAGAGTTCAGTGCCTGTGCGATTGGCTGCAAGGTGTACATCACAGGGGGGCGGGGGTCCGAGAACGGGGTCTCGAAAGACGTCTGGGTCTATGACACCCTGCATGAGGAGTGGTCCAAGGCGGCCCCCATGCTGGTGGCCAGGTTCGGCCACGGCTCCGCAGAACTGAAGCACTGCCTGTACGTGGTGGGGGGCCACACGGCCGCCACCGGCTGCCTCCCGGCCTCCCCCTCGGTCTCTCTGAAGCAGGTGGAGCATTATGACCCCACGACCAACAAGTGGACCATGGTGGCCCCCCTCCGCGAGGGCGTCAGCAACGCCGCCGTCGTGAGTGCCAAGCTCAAGCTGTTTGCTTTCGGAGGCACCAGCGTCAGTCACGACAAGCTCCCCAAGGTCCAGTGTTACGATCAGTGTGAGAACAGGTGGACGGTCCCGGCCACCTGCCCCCAGCCCTGGCGTTACACGGCTGCCGCAGTGCTGGGGAACCAGATCTTCATCATGGGGGGAGACACGGAATTCTCTGCCTGCTCTGCTTATAAATTCAACAGTGAGACGTACCAGTGGACCAAGGTGGGAGACGTGACCGCCAAGCGCATGAGCTGCCACGCGGTGGCCTCCGGGAACAAGCTCTACGTGGTGGGAGGCTACTTTGGCATTCAGCGCTGCAAGACTTTGGACTGCTACGATCCGACTTTAGATGTGTGGAACAGCATCACCACGGTCCCGTACTCGCTGATTCCCACTGCGTTCGTCAGCACCTGGAAACACCTGCCCTCTTAGATGCGGCGCGCCCCCAGGGAAGTGGGCGTGAGGTAAGACGCCAGTTTGGCTGCAGTGCAGGTGCACGTGCAGTGAGGCCAGGTGCGTATGGTTGGTGTGTGGCGTGATCCCTCGAGCCTGTGCTGCAGAAGTACTGCCAAAACTGCACACAGGGGACCCCCAGAACCTGAACACGTGAGTTGACCACCGCCTCAGCCCCCGGGGAATGAACCAGCTGTTTCCAGCTTTGACTGAGCCCCAGAGTTTCTTGAAGAGCTTTTCAAATCTGCTCTTCCCAGAGGCCTTGTCTCATGTGGCCTGAGGTGGGGTCCAAGCATCAGTATTTTTAGAAAGCTTTCCCGTGACTTTAATGAGCAACCAAGTTGAGAACCCCTGACCTGCTAGAAATGCCCGCTAGAGTTTCTTGAGCCCTGTCAGCCCAGAGCGGCACTGTCTCCCGGGGACCCTCTCATGTGATCCTCCCATCAGCCCCGTGGGGTATTATTATTGGCTTTGTTTTGTAGAAAAAGCATGATGCACAGAGGTGAAATCTCTTGCCCAAGGTTGCAGAGCCTCGTCAGTGGTGGCGTTGCTCAGGAAGCCACCCCAGGCAGTCAGGCTCCAGCGTGTAGGGACCTGAGCGTCATGATATGCTGGAGTGACTTCCTCCTGCTGTTGTCCCCGGTGATACTTTGTTGCTATGTGAATTCTACCTTCTCAGTCTCTTTCTGGAACGAATGGGGTTTAAGAAACTCATCACTTAAATTCATTTGTAGTTTATTCTCTCCAAGATTATTCATTCGCTTATTTAAAACATATTCCCAAAATAAAAATTTTAAAAAGCGCCTTTTAGGGCACTTGCTAGCTTGAGAGGGGAATCCAGGTGTGTCCCTGTGAAAGTTGCACCTACGTTGTCTACCCTGGGTGTGCAGGCACACAGGGCCTCCTAAGCTGCCCTCACTGCCACCTTTCAGAGTTAATCGGTCAGGCTGCCCCCTTTGTTGGGGCTAACAAAAGTTGTGTTTCTGTGTCATATATCTGAGTGCATAATGGTTGTCTGTGTGCTTAAGGGTATAGAGTACTCTTGGCTGAAATAATTAATAGGCCTGCACAGTTCAGTGTTCACCAGGCTCACAGCCACTGTGCGACTGCTCAGCTGCCTCGCCTCCACGGGCACGAGTCTAGCACAGGGCGCGCAGAGTGTGTTGATTTGTTTTGGTGACTCATGGGCTTCTTACTAATAATAAGAGATGAAAACTGCCTCGGAATAACTACAGTGAAGACAAACTCATTCCTTGGAAACTTTTGGCTTTGCTTTCTCTAGTATGAGTCTCACCTTTGAAGGGGGTTTTAAAGTTAAAACAGGAAATCTAGGGGTGCTTGCAAGCTCAGCAAACAGGTTTTCTCTCATTTGCCTTTTCTTTCCCCATCTTTTTTTTTTTTTTTTTTTGAGTTAGAGTCTCACTCCGTCGCCCAGGCTGGAGTACAGTGGCCCACTCACGGCCACCCCAGCGTCGACCTGCTGGACTCTGGTGATCCTTCTGCCTCAGCCTTCCAAGGAACCGGAACTACAGGCACACACTACCAAGCCGGGCTAATTTTTGATTGATTGTAGAGACGAGGTCTCACCATGTTGCCCAGGCTGGTCGCGAACCCGTGGTCTCAGGCAGTCCTCTCACCTCAGCCTCCCAAAGTGCTGGACTTGACAGGCTTGAGCCACCACACCCAGCCTTTTCCCATTTCTTATGGCTCATTTAAGAACGTCGTGATCAGTGGCCTCACTTTCACATTTCATCTTTCTGTTTTTCTCACTTCTTCGGTTTCCTCCTTCAGCCTGTCACCGTTCCCTGAGGTCTTAATGCCATGCCTCCTTGGAGGGAGACCGCCTTACAGGAGCAGGAACAGTCCACTGCCTCCCCTGAGGAACTCCTGGGCTGATCACCATCCACACCAAACTGGTTTTTGCAGCTGTGCTGGCATCTCAGTAACCCTGAGTAAACAAATACGCCAGAAGTGGCTATTTCATTTGCAGTATTAATACATAACTCTAAAGCAGGCTTCAAGAACCTCCCAGGCAAAAGTATCAGTTAATAGCACACTTAGTTGGGTGTTAGTTCAGGACTGACCCTGACTGTATTTGCACAGAAGAGCCATAAAAACTGCCAAGGGGATGGCAGTACGTCCAAAATGCTAGCGAGTAGGCGAGCTGGCATCCTTGGAGCAAGGTAAGGAAATCGAGGCAGAAAGAGGGGCAGACACACGATGTTTTCTGGTCCTGGTTTTAAGCTGTAGGCCTTTCTGGGCTTTAGACCGCTGCTCTGTCGAACGAATGGCTTTGACTGTAATTCCCCTAAGGTCTGTCCCAATCCAGACTTGGGTGAATTGACAAATGAAGAGGGAAACAAGAGATGAAAACACCTAGCCCGGTGCATGGCATATGCCAAATACTCAGCACTCTTAGTTTGCTCTCTCCCTTCAGCTGAAACCCTCACTTGCTCTGAGGTATGGCAGTGGAGTCAGCTTTGTGTGTGGCAGCGAAAGGAGGTTTCTTGGACTGTTATCTGCTTGTCGTCTTTGTGCCTTCATCTTTGGTTTCTCCTTTTTCAGCCCAGACTGAGTGTGTTGGCAGACACGTGAATTCACCCTGTCCGGGGTGTTTGAACCGCATCACTCACTTCTGGTCCCTGGGAGCCAGAGCCAGAGAAGTGTTAGGTTATGCATGAAACAACATCCTCTTCATCCTTGGTGCTACCAGTGAAGGAGACGAGCGCATAAAACTAAATTTGGCACGTCCAGGTTGGCTGTTTTTAAAGTACAGCCTAAGCACCGGATCGTGGCCACTCTTTGGGTTTCCGACAGGGAGAGTGTGGGTTTAAATGTCTGAGGTTTGCTACACACAAGATAGGGCTGAAGTTTAGGCTGGATGGAGTGCCTTAAAGAACTGCTAGGTAGGTATCAGTCCTAGACCACAAATTCCTCTGCTCTCCAAATGTAGGTGCTAACCGAATTAATACAGTGTTAACAATAAGTTTCTCCAGGTCTGAGAGCTCATCCACCATGGTCTCCTGCTGTTCTGTCAGCGGGTGGGGAAGACAAAAAGGAAATTACTTTGATGATCCTCTGGTTTCATGGTGCTGTGTGGCTCCAACTGAACAGACTTTGATTTGCTTTGTTTCTTCTCTTTAGATCTTTTAGGTTTTCTTGGGATTTTTTGGTATGTGGTTTTTTGTTGTTGATTTTTTTTAAAGTATACAATGTCTTGAAATTTTATATTATTACAAGATACATTCTTTTGGCCGAATGTCAATGTACAGGTTATAAGGAGGGGCTTGCGGGGATGACGCTCTAGTCTAAGGAATGCCTTGAAAGCTTGAATCCCTGTTATGAAACAGCCAAAAGAAACAGCTAACGAAATAAATCAGACTTCTGAACACAAAAGCAAAGTGAGAAAAATTCAACACAAGTCATGAGCAGCCCCTCCAGAATGTCCTTTGTCTGTACTTAGAGTTATAGCAACAGGGTTACACAAGCCCTCTGCAGAATTTCCCCACATGAAATCAGAAGTAAATAAATGGCTGTTTGCATGCTTCGTGGTTATGGTACTTTGAATTTATATTCACACTTGTTGTCAGTAGATTCTGTAGACAGTAGCACTGGCATCCCATAGCTGTTGTCTAAGTGGACTAATGAACTTTGAGAATAAACTCCAGCCTTGGGCTGTTGAGGCCTGGTATGTTGTCATGTGAAAGGAAGCGAGACTGATTTCTGCCATAATGAATAGCAGAGATGCATTTAAATAAGAGGATTAATATGTCTGCCTTCTATATGGTGAATACATTTAATTCGGAGTCTTTTATGGTGCATGGGCCACGGAGGGATTGCCTGGGAATCTCTCTTCTTTTGACCCTTCAGTGATCACTTTACAGTGGCGCTGTTTAATCACAGAAAAGCGTTTTATGAACGTTGGAAGCAGAAGTTGGCAACTCACAATAGCACCTAGATGTAGAAGTTTGAATTTGGACATGAATAGGTGTACGATAAAAAGTGGAGGTCCTTCTTTGGACACCACTGTGTTTGTTGGACCGGCCATCTGCACGGATGCATACGTGCACGTGTGTGTTCACTCAAGGCAAGTATTTTAAATATCTTTGCACTGTTCCTACTGAGCGTGTCATTAAGACCTTTAGAAGCTATCTTGCCTGGTTCTGTTCCAAGTTTAATTAAAAAAAAAAAATTTGTGGCTACTAAGAAAAATCTTAAAGCATGGCATCACACAAATCCTTCATGCTTTTTTTGTTTTGCTTTTTCCTTCTATTTTAGCTCACTCCATCACTCGATGAGACAATAGATTTCTTGGGAGAGGCCACGTCTAAGGAAGATAAAGGAAAAAAGAAGTCGCTGCAAGACTGAATAAAATCTGCTGCACCTTGTAAACGCTCTAACTGGACATGAAGGAAGGGGTGGGGGGGTGGGATTTTCAGTGCAAGTAGCACATGGTTTAAATATGAATGAACGAACCTGTGATCTAGTCCTTGTCTTGTAATTGTGGATTAATGTCAGCGTTAATCAGCCCCTCAAAGGAGAGAAAAGCTGGACCTTTTTCCCTTGCTGTACCATATTCAGCATTTGATTTCCATGGGCTCCGCCATTTATGTGTAAAATTTGAAATGGTTGTCACCTCTCTCTGCAGAGCAAGCTTGAAGCGTCCACGCCAGCTGCTGTTGGAGGTTCAAAGCCCAACTGTGGGTCCAGGGGGGAAGCTGGCTGGGCTGGCTGCAGAATGAGCCCACTGGACTCTCCGCTAATCTCTAAGGGGTGTGCTCCCCGGGAAGGTTTCTGAACAATGGGGACATTGTTGGTAGCTATTTGGTAGATGTTCTTTTCTATTTATAAGTGACTTTAAACTTTCCCTTGGCTGTTAAGAAATTTGTTATAGATTTTAGCTATTTATTGTTTGATGCCTGCATGCTGAAACAATGCTTACAGTTGTCTTCACATGTATGGACGTGTGTGAATGGTTGTCTGTTTTGCACATTTTGTGGCTGTTGAGATGTGCTTTGCTGCACAAAAATGAAAACTTTTGAATTACAATTTGGAGTAAAACTGGAGGGTGGGTTGGGGAGGGGTGGATTTTTTTAAATGTCCAGACAGAGAAGGATTGCGAGACGGAAATTTAAATCTCATCCTAGAGTTAGAGAAACCATGGAGATCACTTTCCTTAGACTCACCAACTTTTAACGGGGTATGGTCATGCTGATGGGGTGAGTGGAAGCTTCTTTCTGCCCCTCTCCCCCCTTCTATCTGCTTCACCTAATTCAGTCTCAGCTGCTGAAATTTGGAAAAGACCAAATCGCTTTGCAGTTTTTGTTTGAAATCCTGAAATCCTAGAAAATTCTATGGAATAGTTCTGTATATAGGGCACAGGTAAAGGCATTGTCCAGAGTTTATTTATTTATCTATTTATTACCCTATGAGAATGCTTTGCCATAACCACAGTTAATGGGAAACATGGAAATATCACTGATGTAAATCAACTCACGGACCAGATTTGCTTGACCTGGACTCATCGTTCTCTGTTCTTGCTGTACAGTTTAGCAAGTGCTGGAAATTCTCCAAGACATTGTTCACATGGGTGCAATACCTACTTTAGTGCTCACCCTTAGGTAAATCTCTTGAAAAAAACAAAACAAAACAAAACTCTTTGGTGCACAAGTGACACATTTGCCCACAAAACACCAAAGAATCGTGAGCAGTGGCCCCGATGGAGAGGTTTTCCGAGGTAGCTGGAAATCAGTTGTGAATACATTCTTTGCTCGTTGGAGTGCTTGTTTACTAAGCATGTGCCGTGGTAGGTATTAGTGCTCGTCTCCAATAGGTGCTTCCTCCGAGGTGTGGGGGAAGGCCAGAGTTTGCAACTCGAACTGCTTTTGTCGATGTTTCTCACATTGCTGTCTTTTAGAAAATAGGGGTTAAGGCTGATAACAACCTTTCACGTCGTGAGTGTGTCTGCATTGCCTGATGACAGATAAATCCTGAACATTTCTCTCCACCTTAGTACTTTAGACTGATTGTGCTTGTGCGTTCGTGCCGTGAATGAGTGGGCTCTAGTTGGACCAAAATAAAGGAGCCGTTGGAAGAAAAGAGTCACTGTGCTTTCCAGTAGTCATCCCCTAGTTCCTTGATGTGTTCTGAGCAGTGCAAATGTCTAATTGTAGCTTGGCGGCGTAGCCCGTGTCGTTCTATTTGTAGCAGTTGCAGCTCTGTAGTTTATGATGCAAATCTGCCCAGAGATGGACGTGTCACTGTGTGGCTTCTGAAAGCAGGATGAATTTTCTGCAGCTGCTTCAAAGTTGTGGTCTGTCCTTGAATTCTCTATGAATTACTGTGTCTGAGACAGAGGGAGCCGCGGTGAGGGTGGGCCCCTAGCCTGCAGGGAACTTTCTGGACTCCTGCTCTTTGAATTGGTGTAGGCATTTGGTCTCTCTCCTTGACCATTCTCACCCTGTGAAACGTCCCACACTTTGAAGCAAAGACAATTCACAGCGCAGTACACACAAAAACCTTGGCATGAGACAGAGAAGGTTCTTCTTATTTTGTGGACTGGTTGCTGTAGAAACTTAACAAAGGGCAGCCTTCCACTTCTGGTATAATTGTGTAGCCCTTTTCTCTGGGCTTGACACCTGTCTGAATAAGAGTGATTAGAGCTGCATAATATCCCTCTCTCGCTATTGAAAATGTGGTTCACGTACAAAACTCTGTATAAGTTGAAGTAAAATGTTCACGTTCATATGTACTTGTTTGCTACTACTACATTTTTGAGGTTTTGTAAAACTGTTACTTTTTTTTTCACAATGTGAAACTGAAGGTCAATAAATTATTAGAGATTTTCTCTTCATTGTGTGTGAGGGTCTTGTCTTTGACTACAACAGAATTTTAGGCATTGTAAACTTGGGCTTTTTCTCATTTAATCAAAAGGTGGATCATTTCAAACGTTTTCTATGTGCTTTATTTCACCATTTGGTCACATACATTTATTAAAGTAATTTTGCACATTAAATACAACATTTGGCCTTTAGAATATCTCTTCAAGCAAAATGGGTTTATTCAGAGCCTGGAATATAAAAAGCCACGCACCGTGCAATGTTAGGACAGCATACTTTATAGTAGAATGAATTTAGTTTTTGAAATGGGATATATTGATAGAAAGCTGTTGAGAAGGAACTGGAGTTCAATACACTTTTCATTTATCTGATGGCATCTGCTTTAGAACTCATTTAAAGTAAGTGGAAATATATGCATTTGTTTCTCTGTAGTGGCACAGAAAAATACAAGTTTTAGCCCTTCAGGTCACTTAGCTTTCTTCCGAGTTGACAGCTGTCCTAACCGGCTCTGCCTAAACCAGATGAAGCTTCCTGCCCCCACCCTCGTGACGGCTTCATGTCACACTGATGCTCCTTTATCTCTTGGGTTGGACCCCTTAGTGTGCTAGTGTGCACAGAAATGTTGGGCACGATCTTTTCTGGGTAGGAAATAAGTACTACCTAATTGGATCTCTAGGAGAAGTCACAAGCAGGCATCATGCAGTGCCTCTGGACTTTAACCAAGACGCCAGAGCAGATGCCTCGAGTTTGACCGAAGGACCGCTGGGTCCTGTGCTGTGTGAGGCTTATCTAAAGCCAAGGTTGCGGGAGTGTCAGTTCTCAGATTCCAAGTACACGCTGCTGATGACCCATGGAAACCCTGATGGTGACACCATATGTATGACACCACATGACAGGGATGGGATTTGGACTCTTAGAAGAAGTCTTAATGTTAGTTCCTAGACAGGTTGAGAATGATTCCCACAGAAATGATTGTGAGCAGACCTTCCATTCTCTGGAGTTAGCTTCTCGGTTGGGTCATGTAGACAGATTACAAAGATAATTCAAAGTCTTACTTTTTATTCATTTGGAAATTTCGTTTCCTCCAGACATTTGGATCACGGTGGCCATGTTAGTTTGGATTACCTTCAGCTGTGCGTAGTAAAGCTCTGGCCACAGCAGGAAAACCGTCGGGACGTCAGCAGTCCAGGGCTGGGACAGTACCCCTGCAAGGCCATCAGCTGTTGGGGGCTGTTCCGGCTCTGCTTTGCTACCCTTGGCTTAGGCCTCGGTCCTCGTTGCTGCAGGATGGCAGGTGGCCTTGTGGCATCACCTCTGCTCTCCAGGTAGCAAAGGCAGGGAGGAAGGGGAAAGGGCACATGTCATAGGATGTGCTCCCTTTTTCTTGGAATAGTAATAGTTTACCCGAAAGGCTCACCTGGGAGACTTACACTTATCTCTCAGTGGCCAGAACTAGGTCACATGAATTTCATGAGCTATAAGAGAGTCCTTTTGTCTGGGAACATCGCCACCCCACACGGTAAGGTGATTTTTTATTTAAAAAAAAAAAGAATAGATATTAGATAGGCAACTATACACAGATTACCCACTGTCGTAGATGGATTTATCTGCTGCAGTGAATAATCAGAGTCATCGTACACAGTAGGCTCTTTTGTTAAGTGACTTGGATGAGCTGAAGATTCTGCTAAGGACCTGCTCTCCAGTCACATTTAATCCTTACGACAAATTTGAGGTAAGTAGAGGGAGGTTTCTTAACATCTCTGAGCCTATGTCTTCCATCGGTGCAACAAACATGATAATATTCTTACCAGAAAATTTAATAATTTAAGAAACTTACAAGAAAGCACCAAGCTTAGTGCCTGGCACACAGTGGGTCCTCAGTAACTTTAACTTGCCATTTGAAGACACCCTGGGGAGAAATACATAAATGAATAGAAATCTGAGTGCTGGCCCGGCTTGGTGGCTCAGCCTGTAATCCCAGCACTTTGGGAGGCCAAGACAAGTGGATGGCCTGAGCCCGTGGGTTTGAGACCAGCCTGGGCAACTTGGCGAGATCTCATCTCTACAATAAATCAAGAAATTAGCCAGGTGTGGTAGCGTGCGCCTGTCGTTGTGGCTACTCGAAAGGCTGAGGCAGAAGGATCGCCGGAGCCCGGCAGGTCGAGGCTGCAGTGGCTGTGAGTGTGCCACAGCACTCCAGCCTGGGCGATGGAGTGAGACTCCAACTCAAAAAAAAAGAAAAGAGAAGAGAAAACTCCGAGCGCTTATTCTGTGCCAGGGACTGTGTTAAGGGTTTGCATGCCTGTTACCTTGCTCATCCTCCCAGCAAACCCCATGAGAGCAGGCGCTGTTCTTATCCCTATTTTATAGATGATGAAACAGGTTTTAAGAGATTATACAACTTGCCCCAGGGAGTGGTGGAGCAGCATTGCAAGGCACACTCTCTGAGCTGCTCCTCCAGGTCCAGGAATGTGGAGGAAGGTGATTCACGGTGTGAGTCCAGCTGTGGGAAACCCAAGGCCGCCTGCGTCCACGGTGTCTCAAAGACATGACTTTGGGAGGCGGTCCCGAGAGGCCCGGAGCTGGAGCTGGAGCTGGTAAGCCCTGCCCCACGTGAGGACGGAAGAAGCCAATGGAAGGGGTTTACACTGAGACTCAAAATGTTCCTTGACAGTGGGTTTCTGAAGATACGGTTATGGCAAATGTTAAAATAAATGGGAGTCCTTGGTGGCTGCTATACTTCCTTTTTTTTTTTTTGAGCTGGAGTCTCACTGGGTCACCCAGACTGGAGTGCAGTACCACGCTCACGGCCACCGCAGCCTCGACCTGCTGGGCTTAGGCAATCCTTCTGCCTCAGCCTTCCAAGTAGCTGGAACTACAGGCATGCACCACCAGGCCCGGCTAATTTTTTAATTTATTGTAGAGATGAGGTCGTGCCAAGTTGCCCAGGCTATGGGCGCAGGTAATCCTCTCACTTCAGCCTCCCAAAGTGCTAGGATTACTTGCGTGAGCCACTGAGCCTGGCCATACTTGATATTTTATTGAGCTGTACACTGATGTCTTTTGTGCTTTTCTGTTTGTAAAATGTTTAATTGACTGAGAAATTGAATATACAAATAGATCATGGCCAGAACACATATTAGAAACAGAACTCTGCCCCACTACCTGAAGCAAACAGCCCGGGAAACCCACACATTGTTTGCAGTAACCAGCAAAGGAAGCCAGCCTGCTATCCAAGTCAGACTTGTAGGAAGTCAGACCACTATCGCTAACAGTTGGTCTAGAACGCCAAGCAAGAACCCCTGGAACAATCAGCCCTGAATGACCAGGACTCGATTCCTAACTGCTTCCCTGGTTTTTGTCCTTGCTTTTAACTTAGGCCCAGCCAGAGAAAACCAAATGTACACCGCTGCCCCTCACCACAAGGTGCCCGCTTCTGCAGGGCTCGCCTGTGGCTTCCTATGTCAACGGCCTCCCATCCAACCTTCCCTTTTCCCCCCACAATAGAGCTTTCCCTCTGCTCTGTCTTCCTTTGACCCTTTGCCAAGACGCAAGTGACAGCGGCTGACTCCCTAGCCAGCCCCCTTGCTATAACAAGCTTTGGATAAACAGCCTTTGCTTGTTCTCATTTGATTGGTCATTGTTTATTTCCACAGACAAATGTTTGCTCACTAAAATAATTAAATATTTCAATTAAAAGGTTCACAAAAATGAAGTGGGGACCGACATTGTGGATTGTGGGCGAGGTTTTCAGAAGGTTGCTGTTGTCATCCTGAATGTCTGAGCAAGTGCAACATACAAAATACATAGAGCAGGAGAAAATGGATTTTGAGTTAATGGAGTTGAGATTAGGGCATCTGGTTTGCCAACAGGAGAACGGTTGCTTTGTTTGGGAATATTTTGAATAAAGTGAGAACACTTAAGTAAGTTTTATGGCCATATTCATGGTACACATAAATGTATGAATAAATGCAAAAACTTAGCAGTTAATTCCTGGCCTTGCCTGTCACAAATCTTAAGTGCTTTGCCTGTCTGACACATACTCAGACGAAGCCATCTGTCCTGCATTTGAATTTAATCATAGACAATGAATTTTAAAGCTCTGTTATTTGTCAGTCATTGGACAACTAGGTGCGAGACCTAACTTTCAGGGAGAAAAAATGTACATTGAGGCATGACTATGAATTAAAAGCAATTCGACTAAGTAAACTATAAATCTACCATAATCTTGTCCAGCTCTGCTTACAGCCCAGCTCGCTTTGTGAGTCCTGGGGCAACCAAATGAGACAAAGTTTCTCTCTTTTCCTCTCTGGCTCCGTTTCCTTGGCAACCGTAATCTTTATCTGCGCAAAGATGGGGACTGGAGCGGGAGAGGCAGTTGGAGTTTCAACAAAGACTCTCCCTAATCCTTTTCTTGTGTTATCAGATGATTTGTTTTGTTACGAAAAGTTATTTTACACCCAATTTTTAGATAGTGCTGGGAGGGTTTATTGGATATCTTGGAAAGGCTGAGGGCATTTTTTCCCCCCAGGAGATATGCTAATAGTGTGACCACAAAGAAGATGAAATCAGCTCTTATGCAAGCTCTCAGTTGTGAATACCTCTGCTCCACACACCCACCCACATACATTCTGGCCTGGCACTGCTTCCAGGAGCACCATTTTGGGAGAATGAATGTTGTAATTTTTGAAAGAATGTATAGGTAGGGAGAAAAGAAAAACAGAAGAGACCCTTGGGGAGCTGTGTCAGGTGGGTGGTGGCCCTTACACAGCCCTCCCTGGAACTTCCTGAGGGTCCGTCTGGTCCAGAGAGGGAGGGAAGCCGGGCTCGGGGGCTCGGCCTGTCATCCCGCGCCTTTGCGAGGCTGAGGTGAGTGGATGGCCTGAGCCCGGGGTTCGAGACCCGCCTGGGCAGCGAGACCTCATCTCTACAGTAAATCAAAACATCAGCCGGGCACGGTGGCGCGCGCCTGTAATTCCGGCTCCTTGGAAGGCTGAGGCGGAAGGATCGCCGG